CTTGTTTATGTTGAAATGGTTGAGTCTACTAGGTTTAGTTTCTGTTACACTCTGAGTATTGTTTGTTTTATTGCATTACACTGTATACTGTACATCGATCGTCACGTTCCGGTATTTTGTGTTCCTGACCAGCGACTCTTCCACTTTTCCAGACTTCTCGAGATTAGGTCACGAGTTATTTTCCGCGAACGAGTCAGGGCAGGCATACCTGCGATTTTCGACTCCCTAATCACATTCCGGCATTCACACACTTCGAAGATAATCCAATTCTGACGCATTCCCGTAAGCATGTGGCACGAAATGATTTCGCGCTCGGTCTAAACCCGTCCGTCACCACCACCACGGCAGGTTCTCCCGCGCGAGCGGCGACGGCGGCGCCATACCAGTGGACGTGGCGGGGGTGAACATTATCATCTGGGCCTACTCGCAGTCCGGCTCCACCGCGCTCGGCTATCACGGCCGCAACGAGTGCGTTTCGCAAATACCTTGCTCATTCTTAGGGTTTTTCATTCGCTGCATGAAATTAGCAGTCAGCGTTTGACTATCAAGCGGGAGTGAACACGGTCATCTGGCCCTACTCGCAGTCGGGCTCCACCACGCTCGGCTTCCACGGCCGCAACGAGGGAGTGCATCCGATTCGATTGTTTTTTTCCCCATATTGTTTTCTTCTCAGTACGACCGACAGGGTTATCTGCACTTCCCTTCAACTCCGCGCCCGGCATCCATGGCTGTTCCCAAGCGAGTGCATCGGAGTTCACAAGTTTCCTACGCGTTCCGGCTTGAAGCGAGCGCCGATTGTTTTAGAATCCACATGGCCTTCATTCATCCTCGCATTCATCCGTGCCCTTCTGCTCTTTCCCCTCGCTCCTGCTGCTCATTCCTCTCCCCCGATTCAACAGCGGAGCCACCTCGGTGGACTTTTCCTGCGTTGGTGCTGCTGCTGTGGCCAACTCCTCTGCGGGAGGCAGCGCCGGGAGCACCAATGGCAACGCGACAGCTGGCAGTGGCTCAAGCGGCAGCAGCGGCAGTACTAACTCCACCACGGGCAGCGGAACGGGCAGCGGAACGGGCAGCGGAACGGGCAGTGGGACGGGCAGCGGAACGGGCAGCGGAACGGGCAGTGGGACGGGCAGCGGGACGGGCAACGGAACGGGCAATAGCTCGAACGGTACTGGCAGTGGCAGCACCACCAACAGCACGACTCCCGCTCCCACTCCTCCCTCCACCCCGCCTGCTTATAACGAATCGTTTCCCTTCCCGCCTGTTTATTACCCTCCTCCCCACGACGGAGACCATGAGCATGGGAGTGAGCATGGTGGTGAGCAGGAGGGGGGAGAGTGGGGAGACGGGGAGGAGTGGGAGCAGTGGGGAAACGGAGAGGGGGAGCAGGAAGGGGGGAGGGGAGACGGAGGGGAGGGAGGGGAGGGAGGGGAAGGAGGGGAAGGAGGGGAAGGAGGGGAAGGGGGAGAAGGAGCAGGAGTGGGCGGTGGATCTGGTGCAGGGTCAGTTTGCCAGGCCTCGTCCCTTTCAGGTTATGAGCACTCTGTGACTCTAACGAACGGGCTCCTCCTCCACTGGACGCTCGTTAGTGGCACCACCCCAACCAACAGCAGCAGCAGCAGCAGCAGCAGCAGCAGCGCCAGCAGCAGCAGTGGAAATAACGGGGGAACAGCACAGCTGCGACTGGCTCTTGAGGCACAGCAGGGCAGTGGGGCTGAGAACGGTTGGATCTCCATCGGTTGGTCAACGGACGGCCGGATGGCCCCCGCTGACGCTGTCATCGGGAACCTTCCAGGAAACGAGGTTGCTGCGTATGCCATGACTGGTTACCAGATGTCCGATGTTACGGTCACCAGCAGTTTTTCGGTCACTGAAGCGAGTACTGAGGCGGCTAGTAACGGAGCGACTGTGGTGAAGTTTACCCGGACGGAAGGGGACGGGGGAATAGTCCCGGTGGATTTTACTGGGGTAAATACCCTCGTGTGGGCGTTTTCTGGATCCGGCTCGCAGGCACTGGACTTCCACAACCAGAACGAGTGAGTTCATTTGCTGGTTACCACACTGTTACACACCTGCTGGTTACCACATTGTTACACACCTGCTGGTTACCACACTGTTACACACCTGCTGGTCACCACACTGTTACACACCTTCTGGTTACCACGTTGTTGCTTACCGGCAATGGCTCGTTTTCAGTCAACAAGCTTCCTTTGCTGTTCTCATTCGCCCTCTTACTCCCGTCGGTTACTCAGTATCTGTTCTCATGTTATTGTCACCCCCGTTCTTCTCACCCCCGTTTTTGTCACCCCCATTGTTGTCACATGTGCTCAGTGGAGTCGTTCGAGTGGATTTCACTTGCTCCTCTGCTGCTTCTGCCAACAACGGCACCTCTGCATCTGCTGAGGGCTCCGACAGCCAATCACTGGGCGCCACGTCAGCAGCAGCATCCGATAGTAGCAGCAGCAGCAATGCCTGCACGGCATCATCCCTGGCCGGATATGATTGCATGGTGCAACTCAGCGGCAACAAGTGAGTTCCAAGGGGCATGTGGGCAGGGATACATGAGTGGTCAGATCTTTGAGACGTCCTGCAAGCAACAGTGCGTGAAAGTGAGTGGCGGTCATCCCTGAGCGGATATGACTGCATGGTGCAACTCAGCGGCGACAAGTGAGTGCCGAGAGCCATGTGGGGTAGATGAGTGAGTGAGTGGTGAGCCGTTGAGACGTCTCACAAGCAGCAATACATGCACGGAACCATCCCTGGCCGGATGTGACTGCATGGTGCAACTCAGTAGCGACAAGTGAGTGCTAAGGAGCCATGTCACATGGCGTGGGGCAGGAAGGAGTTATGGTGCATGGGGTATGAGGCATGGGGCATGGGGTATGAGGCATGGGGCATGGGGAATGGGGCATGGGGCATGGGGTATGAGGCATGGGGCATGGGGCATGGGGCATGGTGCATGGGGTATGAGGCATGGGGTATGAGGCATGGTGCATGGGGTATGAGGCATGGGGCATGGGGAATGGATCAGCAGCAGCCGCAACAGCAGCAACTGGTTGGAACTACCAAGCGAGTTTACCCGATCTCGTCTCGTCACTCATTCTCCCCCATCGTACACTTCTCCCATCCCCTCAGCTTCATACTGCACTGGAAAACCAGCAGTACCAACACCATTTACCTGGCAGCAGAAGCAGCGACAAGTGGGTGGGTGTCTCTCGGATGGTCTGCCTCTGGACGCATGTACCCTGCTGAAGCCGCCATCGGCAACCTCCCCACTGACACTCTCCTGACTACCGGGAATGCTGCAGCGGCTGTGGGGGCGTATTCAATCACGGGTTATGGCGCCAGCGATGTCACGGTTACCAGCTCGTTTGCGGTTACCAACACGGTTGTGGAATTGGGCAATGGGCGGACGGTGGTGAAGTTTGAGCGGTCGATGAGCGATGGGGAGTTCCCCGTGAGCAGCAGTGCTGTCATCTGGGCTTACTCGCGGGATGGCTCGCAGCAACTGGCGGACCATGGGCCTAATGCGTGAGTCTCCGCCTCTCAGGCCACCATGCATTCACTTTGTAGCGACTCTCATTGACTTTGATGTCGCTTGCGGTTACCAACGCGGCCGTGGAGACGGGCAATGGGCGGACAGTGGTGAAGTGAAGTTTGAGCAGTCGATGAGCGATGGGGAGTTCCCAGTGGACAGCAGCGCTGTCATCTGGGCTTACTCGCGCAATAACTCGCAGCAACTGGCCGACCACGGGCCTAAAGCGTGAGTCTCGTGCATTCACTCCATACCAAATCTCATGCCTCGGCGCCTCAAAAAAAAGTGCCATGCTGCATGCCCATGCCGCATTCCCATAGCTCCCTTTCCGCTTACCTTGTTCTCTTCACGTGGTGCCCTTCCCTCCTCTTCCCCTTCTCTGGCCACGTCCCTTCTTATCCCCATTATCAGAGGCTCTGCTACAGTCAACTTTGTGACGGGAGCATCAGACGGGAAGCAGCAGCAGTGCCACGCTCTACACCGTGCACGCGTGGCTGCTCACAGTGGCCTTTGGTGCCCATGCTCTTCTGTCCCTCCCCAATCCCCACCAACAGGGGCTCTGCTACAATAAACTTTGCGACGGGGGCTTCAGAGGAGGGCGAATCAAGCAGCAGCAGTGCCACGCTCTACACCGTGCACACGTGGCTGATCACAGTGGCCTTTGACCCTCGTCTCCTCTCTCTCCCATCCTGCCCTCCTCCCTTCCTATCCCCGTTATCAGAAGCTCTGCTACGGTCAACGTTGCGACGGGAGCATCAGATGTTGGCGAGGGTAGCAGCGGCAGCATCGCTCTGTACACCGTGCATGCATGGTTGCTTGCTCACAGTGGCCTTTGCCATACTCATGTTCTCTGTCCCTTCCCTTCAAACCCCCGTTACCAGAGGCTCTGCTACAGTCAACTTCGCAACAGGAGCATCCGAGGACGGGGAAACAAGCAGCAGCAGCGCCACGCTCTACACGGTGCACGCATGGCTGCTCACTGTCGCCTTTGGCATACTCATGCCTGCTGCCATCCTCACATCGCGGCTCTTCCTAGCCGATAAGCCCATGCCTGTGCACCATGCTGCCCCTGGCGCTGCACATAACCCTGGTGCAAGCAACAGCAGCAGGGACAGCAGCAGCAGCAGCAGCAGCAGCAGCAGCAGGCACAGCAGCAGCAGGCACAGCAGCGGCTGGTGGGTTGGGGGAGCCGATGCTTGGTGGGAAGCACGGTGGGGCAGCAGCATTGGCAGAGGAGGAAGGCAGTTCCCTTAAAGGCAGTCCCCTTAAAGGCTGCCCCCCTAAAAGCAGTCCCCCTAAAAGCAGTCTTCCCAGCGGCGTGATGGCAGAAGATGCACCGGCTCTTGTTGCTCTTTCCGTTGGCGGTCCACCCGTAGCAGCAGCAGTAGCAACAGTATCAGGCGCAGCAGGGGGTGCAGCAGCAACAGGGGGAACAGTTGGCAGGAAGCCATGGGTGAGCAAGCCCATGGCGTTTGAGGTGCACAAGTGGCTCATGCTCTCCGCTGTGCTGCTCGCACTCGCTGGAATCATCATGGCATTCGTGGAAAAGGGGTCGCAATCATTGCAGTCGACACACGGACAGCTCGGATTGGCCGTCATGGTGCTGATTGTTGCGCAGCCAATCGTGGGGCAGCTGAGGCCGCTCAAGAAGCATCCCAGCCGTCCATCCTGGTTTGCGCTGCACTGGGTGATTGGCGTCGGCACGGTGGCCATCGCGTGGGCAAACTCCTACATTGGGTTTGATCTTGCCACTTCCAAGCTTGGATACGACCTTGACGTGAGTTTAACATCTCATTTTTTTTTAGGTGAACCGCCAATCTTCTTTCTTACCACTCGTGCTTGTAACTCATGCTTTCCCTCTTCCATGCCCTCCCTCCCATCCCATGCCCTCCCCCCTTGACAGTGGTCCTACATAGCTTTCTCCATTTTGATTGGGTTATTCAGTATAGCATACGTCTTTGACTTTGTGCTGGACCAAGTCAGCTTTTGTTGTGAGAGCTTTGAGAAAGACAAGCCACGGGTTCCGGCAAAATCTGTCGAGATAGTGTAGGCTTATTCTTGTTTTGTCGTCTCTATTGTGGTGTTGTGCCTTAAGTTGTAGCCTTACACCAATTCTGTGTTACTTGTGTGTAATGATGTTTGAGTTCTTAGCATCGGGAAAACATTAATGCCTCCCTCTCAAAAAGAATTTATGTTATCACGAGGAACAGCGGGCAGTCTTGTTTAGCTTGGGGTGTCACCTCGCCACTACACATGGCACAACAGCCAGTCCCATATTTCGGCCAGGTCTTGAGTCCGCTGCGCTCCGCTGTCGCTTAATCCGCCGCGGAGCAAGACGATGTGACACTGGACCAAAGGAATGGGATAATTACGGTGGGACCTATTTCTGAGGCGCCTTAGAAACAGACGAGTACGTCGCAGGGCATACATGATCAGTTGGACCACGCTGCGACATGCTCGCTGCGACGCGCTTTCTGCGACGTGCTTCTGCGACGCGCTTTCTGCGACGTGCTTTCTGCGACGTGCTTGTCGCGGGTAACGTGGTAGCGGAGTGCTTTACGCTATACGTTCTGACTTTAAAACATGGTAGCGGAGTGCTTAACGCTATACGTTTTGAGACGAACTATAGACAACGTGGCGATGCGACTCATGCCTGTGCCACAGCAATCCATGTGCACCTCCATCCTGTGACAACTTATAGACAACTTTCCCGTGCCGCGCTGCTGCTCGCCGCGTCTAGTTGCCATTCCTTCCGTCCCGCGCTCCCTCGCTCTGCCCTGCATTTTCTGTGCAAGTTTATGCTTCTAGTTTCCTCCGTCTCTCCCCTTCGTTAGTCCGAGCAGCGTCTGTACGACTTCCCCCTGCCACCCTCCTCTCCTCCTCACCCCAACCCTCCCGCAACCCCACCTCTCCCCTTCCGCTCCGCTCCTCCCGTCTCTCGCTGCTGCCAGTCGGAGAATCTTCTGAGCAAGCTCGGCGGGATGCTTTCGTTTGGAGGGAAGCCGAAGAAGAATCACCAGAGGTGAGGCGTGAGGTGCGCGAGTGGAGAGGAAGGAGTGGGAAGGGCATTACGGGGGCGTGCTGCTTTGGGAAAGCGGAGGAGATGGTAATATTAGGCACAAAACCCAGCCCTCCTCCTCCCGCCCTTTCCATGCACGGCAGGCAAGACAAGGCATCTGTCAGACGGTGTGGCTGGACCATCTTCAGCCGATGCGATGCGACAGGGATCAGCAGTTATGCAGATAGAGTAGATACACCCGTCAGCCAAAGCCAGGCGCTGGACCATCTGTCAGACAACTTGACGGCGCTTACCAGCAGAGTGAACCAGGCCAACAAGCTCGCTATGCCCCTGGCCCTCATTTCCGTTCCTCCTCCCCCCCTCTCCCTTCCTCCCTCACCACCCACCACCCGCCAGACAGAGCCAGGCGCTGGACCATTTATCAAAGGACTTGACGGCGCTCAACGACAGATTGAAGCAGGCCAACAAGCGCACCAACGATCTGCTCGACAAGCGCTAGCCCAAACAGCTAGCCGAGACGCCTCCAGGGCCAACCACCCGAGCCACGTCCAGGGCCAACCACCCGAGCCACCCCGGGCCAACCACCTGAGCCACCTCCAGGGCCAACCACCCGAGCCAGCTAGCCCAGCCTAAGCAGCTGCTTGAGCCTTCAGCTTTTCAAATGATTGCTGTCTCTCCCTTTTGAGGCGCCTCACCTCGGAAGTCCTCAAGAGTTGAGGCGCCTCAGTACTCTCTCCCTCGTTTCCTGCAGATGTGGTGGCTCTCTGCCTGCTGGTGCTGCCTCAATGCCCTGCATCTCCCCTCGTGTTCATCTTTCTGATTGCAGCTGCTGCTGCTCCTTTTCTCCTGAATGTTGTTTGTGTTGTACTTTAGGTTCCAACTAGCATTATTAATTATGTAAATTTGTGGAAGTATGCTTGTTCTTTGCTTCGAAATCCAATGATGCTTGTGATGTAATAACTCTGTCTTTTTTACTTCTACAACGGGTGTCGGATCAGGCAGCATGGTTCTGATAATGTGATGGTCCTCCATGAACAGTTTCCTCTGTCAACAGCGTCCCTGTCGTTTTTTCTCCCGCTCCGATACAGTGCAGTCAAACCCGCCCGCGTCGTTGTCCCCAATCTCAAAACCCAACCCAATCGGAAACGAGGACCAATAATCGGAGAACTTGACGCGCTCCGCTCCGCCCTTCTTCCCCCCCTTCCCGAACCAGCCACCTTCTCACCTTTTACCCCCTTCTCCCGCGCATTGCTGCCACCTTCGTGCGCGGAGCTCTCTCTGGCAAGCTGCATTTCCGCGCGCGCTCTCACACAGCTGGTTGCGGATAAGCCCCCCCATTACACCGCAGCCCGCACCTAGAGAACCGCCCCACCTGTCCTTTTACCACCCCACAGCGCCCAACGGTCTTCTCCCCCCCGGCCCCTGGACGTCACAACTGTACCTTTCTTCCCCCTAACCCCCACTTTTCCCCCACGAACATTCTTCTTCCCCCCCATCGACATCCCCGCCGCGCCCTTGAAGTTTGTTTCGTTTCAACCTCCAGCTGTCACCATCAGCAGTACGAGTGCCCAGCACTGCACTTCACCAGCCCATTTCTCGGCTTCTTCAAGCGTGAAGTGTCCCGTCTCCTGTAAAGTTCTATTCCTCGTTGCTCGCGGTCTCGTTCACTTCATCGCGGAGATTAAACACCCGCGAGCGCCGTGCGAGTCAGAGGTCGAGGTCTGATAACGCTTAATTACACCACGCTTAGCAGTAAGAGGCTGAAACAAAGAGGCTAAAACCAAGAGGCTGAAACCAAGAGGTTGATATTAAAAGGTCGAACCTATGGCGCGTCGCAACACGGGTAAACCAGTCGTTGAAGATGACGACGACGATTGGGGCTCCAACGCCAAGTGGGTTCCCGCCTCGCAGCGCGCCGCAACCGGCGGCGGTGGCGAGCAGACGCTTAAGGAACTCGAGGACGAGGCGCTGCAGAAGAACAGCGAGTTAACGGACGCGACTCTCAATCTGCGACGAATCACAGAGCAGACGAAGGGCGTCGCGGGACAGACGCTGGTGACGCTTAAGGAGCAAGGCGACCAAATCACGCGTATACACGAGAACGCCGTTACGCTGGACCAAGAAATGGAGAAGGTACGATTCTCCTTGCGACGTGCTCGTTGCGACGTGCTAGGTTTCCGACGTGCATGCTGGCATGTATAGCTTGGTAGCAGAGGGCTCAGCGAGGGTAGCTTTCGAGTCGGCTCTAAAGACGACGTGGTGTCGCGTTACCCGTGTCTGTGTCTCAGCTAACGCCATTGCGTTTTCTGGCCTTTCCGTACCTCCTTGCTGCTCGCCGCGTCTTCTCGCCGTTCCGTCCGTCGCCTTTGTTACATGCCCCTCGCCGCTTTTTTTATGTTCTGTGCTCTTCCTTCAGTTTCTCCGTGCTGGGTGTTTGAGAATCTTTGAAGCAAGTCTCTTTTCCCGTTCTTCCCTGTTACAGTCCGAAATTGCTGTGATCAAGTACGCGTTTCCAATTTCCCCCCTCCCTGCTTCCTGCCAGTATGCTTCTCAACAACCTCCCAACGTCACCCTCCGTATCCCCCACCGTCCCTCTCACTCACCTTCACTCTCCTCTTTATTTGTTTCCCGGCGTCTCTCCCTCTCGTCAGTCTCAGAAGCTTCTGAACAAGTTCCCCTTTCCACCCTCCCTCTCCTCCTTCCCGCCCCTTCCCCTCCCCTCCCTCTCTCGCGTTCCATTCGTTCCGTCTCTCCCAATCGCCAGTCCGAGAAGCTTCTAAAACCCCCCCCCGCCATTTATCTCCCTTCCCCTCCCCTCCCTCTCTCGCGTTCCATTCCTTCCGTCTCTCCCAATCGCCAGTCCGAGAAGCTTCTAAAAACTCCCCCCCGCCATTTATCTACCTTCCCCTCCCCTCCCTCTCTCGCGTTCCATACGTTCCGTCTCTCCCAATCGCCAGTCCGAGAAGCTTCTAAAAACTCCCCCCCGCCATTTATCTCCCTTCCCCTCCCCTCCCTCTCTCGCGTTCCATTCCTTCCGTCTCTCCCAATCGCCAGTCCGAGAAGCTTCTAAAAACTCCCCCCCCGCCATTTATCTCCCTTCCCCTCCCCTCCCTCTCTCGCGTTCCATTCCTTCCGTCTCTCCCAATCGCCAGTCCGAGAAGCTTCTAAAAACTCCCCCCCGCCATTTCTCTCCCTTCCCCTCCCCTCCCTCTCTCGCGTTCCACTCCTTCCGTCTCTCCCAATCGCCAGTCCGAGAAGCTTCTGAACATATTCCCCTTTCCACCCTCCCTCTCCTCCTTCCCGCCCCTTCCCCTCCCCTCCCTCTCTCGCGTTCCACTCCTTCCGTCTCTCCCAATCGCCAGTCCGAGAAGCTTCTGAGCAAGCTCGGCGGGATGTTTTCGTTCGGCTGGAAGCCGAAGAAGGGTCACAAGATCACGGGACCCAAGACTTCAGGTACGGCGATTAAAGACCTAATTTTCCAACGGGGAGAGGGGCGAGGTTGGGGGAAGGTGGGGGGGAGGGGGGGGGGGGGGGGATGGGAGGGGGGGCGGGGGAAAGGGGGGTGGGAGCGGGGAGCTGGGGGCTAAGATCCATGCACACACAAGACGGGGAGAGAAAAGTACTTCCTTGTTACGCCCAATCAGATGCACCCACTCTCACCTTCAGCGCGTGTTTACGCAGCCGAGGCACTCCCCCGCCCATACCTCCTTTCCCCTGCCTTTTTCTTCCTTCCCCCTTCCCCTCCTCCCCCCCCCCCCCCCCCCCCCGCCCCTCTCTTCGCCTTGTTTTCCCGCCCCCCGCTTCTTTCCCCCGCGTGCAGCCAACAAGAAGGACTCGGCATCAGGGGACGCGGCGAGCCGCGAGGGCTTGGGGTTGTCGGAGCCTAAGGCGGGCGCGGCGCCTCCCAAAGCCAAGGAGGGCATGACAGCAATGGAGAAGATCGAGGTAGGAGGGTCAAAGGTGACTGTACACGAGTGTGACTAAGGAGGGGGGCTCAGGGAGGGCACGGCGCCCTCCTTTTGAGGCGCCTCAAAAGCACGGCGCCCTCCTTTTGAGGCACCTCAAAAGCACGGCGCCCTCCTTTTGAGGCACCTCAAAAGCACGGCGCCCTCCTGGCAAGGCGCGGAGGGCGTGTCGGCGATGGAGAGAATCGAGGTGAGAGAGGCTAGATGGTGACTGAGTTATGGTGACTGTACACGAGTGTGACTAAGGAGGGGGGCTCAGGGACGGCACGGCGCCCCTAAAGGCATGGAGGGCGTGACGGCAATGGAGAAGATAGTGAGAGAGGGCTATGATGACTGTACGTGACTGTGACTAAGGAGGAGCTGTCGTGAGTATGACTTTTAGGCGAAATAATGAGGCAGGGCAGGCAACTTTTGAAGGCTAAAGCCATGGAGAAAGCAGGACAGCGATGAGGGAGATCGAGGTGAGAGATGAATCAGTGTGACAGTGTGACTCCTAAAGTCTCGCCCATCCTCGCCCCTCCTCGCCCCACCCCGCCCCTCCTCGCCCCTCCCCGCCCCTCCTCGCCCCACCCCGCCCCTCCTCGCCCCTCCTCGCCCCTCCGCCGCCCCTCCTCGCCCTCCCCGTTCCTCTGCCGCCCCTCCCCACGAGCTCCTTGCCCCTCTCCTGACCCTCCTCTCCACCTTTTTCGCTCCCTATGGTGGACGATGGTGTTTTCGCACTCACACACCCCACTCCCCCCCTCCCCCCCCTTCCCACTCTGGTACAGAGGTAACATTCAACTCCCTCACCACCCCTCCCTCCCCGTCCCTCCCCCCTCCACCCTCCCTCGCTCCCTCACTCTTCTCCTGTTCTTCTCCTGAGGGCGCGCTGCAGATGGAGCGAAAGTTCCAGGACGAGGTGCTGGACGATGTGAGCGATGGGCCTCTGTTGACCCCCCATCCCTCCCCTCCGCTCCCCAACTCTTTCTCCCCTTCCCCCTTCCCCCCCCCCCCCAACAGATGGAGCGCAAGTTCCAGGACGAGGTGCTGGACGATGTGGTTCCCCCGCAACCCCCACTCTCCCACACCGTTTCCCCTCCCCTCGGTTGCAGATGGAGCGCAAGTTCCAGGACGAGGTGCTGGACGATGTGGTTCCCCCGCAACCCCCACTCTCCCACACCGTTTCCCCTCCCCTCGGTTGCAGATGGAGCGCAAGTTCCAGGGCGAGGTGCTGGACGATGTGCGCGATGGGCTGGACGCTGGTGTTGCCTCCCTCCCTCTCTCTCTCTCTCTCTCTCTCTCTCTCTCTCTCTCTCTCTCTCTCTCTCTCTCTCTCTCTCTCTCTCTCTCTCTCTCTCTCTCTCTCTCTCTCTCTCTCTCTCTTTCTCCCACACCTTGACCACCCACCTTTGCCCTGCCCCCAACGCCCCCCCCCCTGCCTGCGCAGATGGAGCGCAAGTTCCAGGACGAGGTACTGGACGATGTGAATGATGGGGCCTTGTTGTTGACCCCCCTTCCACTCCGCCCTCCCCCCCCCATTCCCTCCCCCCCCCCCCCCAATCAGATGGAGCGCAAGTTCCAGGACGAGGTTTTGGACGATGTGAGCTCTGGGCTGGATGCGCTGAAGAACATGGCCCTGGACATGGGGTCCGAGATGGAAAAGTGAGTGGGGAGATGGGTGATGAGATGGAGAAGTGAGTGTGGGGTTGGGTGATGAGATGGAAAAGTGAGTGTGGGGTTGGGTGATGAGATGGAGTGTGAGAGCTGAGATGAGTACTAGCGCTGAAGAACATGGCCATGGACATGGGGTCCGTGATGGAAAAGTGAGTGTTAACATGGCATGTCAAGTGAGCTGCTGAGGTGGGCACTGAGATGAACATGAGAGTGCTGAGATGAGTGCTTGGACGCGATGAAGAACATGGCACTGGACATGGGGTCGGAGATGGAAAAGTGAGTCACACGTTGCCTGTCTGCCTCTATGGGTGATGAGATGGGCATGTGAGGGCTGAGACGATTACTAGCGCTGAAGAACATGGCCTTGGACATGGGGTCCGAGATGGAAAAGTGAGTCACGTAGTTGCCTTCTCTATCCTGTTCTCGCCTCCCTCTATCTGCTTCCTCACCTTTGCTTCCGCTTTCACCTGGGCTGGACGCTCTGAAGAACATGGCCTTGGACACGGGGTCTGAGATGGAAAAGTGAGTGTGGGTGATGAGATGGACATGTTGTGAGAGCTGAGACAAGTACTAGGGCATGACTATTGGGTCGGAGATGGGCAAGTGAGAGCTGAGGTGGGCGCTGAGATGGATATGGGAGTGTTGAGATGGATATGGGAGTGTTGAGATGGATATGGGAGTGTTGAGATGGATATGGGAGTGCTTTGATGGATATGGGAGTGCTGCTTGGCAAGCGTGCTAGCCCACCATAGACAGCTAACCGACCGTCCCTTCCCATCCCCATTCCTTTTCCCACCTCCATTCCCATCCTCCAGGCAAGACAAGGCGTTGGACCATCTGTCAAACGATGTGACGGAGATCAACAGCAGAGTGAAGCAGTCCAACAAGCGCGCCGCCAAGCTGCTCAACAAGCGCTAGCCAACCCGAGCCACCAATCCCAGCCGAAGCAGCTACCCCCTGACCCTCATCTCAAGACAACCCTTGTCTTTAGCCTTGGCATCTGCTTGCCTTCCGAGGAGTCATCTGCTTGCCGTCTCTCCCTCGTCTCCCGTGCCCGTCTGTTGGTGCTGGGTTAGGGTCCTGCATTTCTCTCGGTAATCCCGCTGCTTCTTTCTTTCGCCTGCTACGTAGCTGTGTGTTGCTGTCCTCTGCTGGTGCTGACTAAACGACCCTGCAGTGGTTTATCTGTTGCCGAGACTTCTAGTATATATATCCTACTGTATCCACCTCCCCTTTTTGTTGTTTGATTAGGGTACCTGATAGTTCCACCATGTACATGGATTTTTATTTGCTGAGATCACCACCGAGGAGATTTTGTGAAACAACCAACCATGCTTTGCTTGCATCTAGTGCTGCAGTAACGGAGATTTGGGACATGGTAGACGATCCAACCACTTCTGTACCTCCGTTCAATCACGTACTGTACCTTTCCTACCTTACAAAATAATATCCATTGAAAATGCCTGAGGTAGGGAGCTAGGGCAGACTGAATGCACTGGCAAAATGTGAGTGCGGCTGATATTGGCCCGACCCCGGAGAGCCAATTCTGGTTACGATAGACGCAATCCTGACGTGACTGCTTCTCATTGGATGCGAAGATTCGTCAAGATCGTCAACACCTCCCGCGTCTTTTCAAGTAGTTTTCCAATCCCTGCCAGCACAACTCGTACGCGTCTCGAGCGCGAAAATAGGGGACATCCCCCACCCCTGTCCCAGGCAAAACAAATCGCGGTTCGGGAGGAAACAAGGCGTACCGGCGAATCGCTCGGTGGTCACAGCGTGCCCTCACACAGCAGGTTGCGGATGGGACTGTGTTCGCCCCCCCCCCCCCAGCCCCATCCCTCCCCTCTCAACTTTATTATCTTGAACTATATCTTTAGTCCTTCTACCAATCACCTCGCTTCATTTGATCCGTCCCCCGCTCCCCGCACCTCGAGAACTGCGCCGTCATTACTGCCGTCTCCCGTGTTGTAGCTCATCTGCCGTAAGGACGAATGCTGTGACCGTAGTCCGTGGTCCGTGACCCGTGATCGTGACGTGTCTGCTTCTCCCACCACTACCTTTCCTCCCCGTCAACTCCCCTTTCTCCCCCCCCCCCCCCGGCGAACCTTCTTCTTCCCCGCATTCCCTAAAGATGCATCATTCCCGCCGCACCCTTAATCACACGACGCGTAGCATTAAGAGGCTGAATTCAAAGGTTGAAACCAATTGGTTGAAACCATGGCGCCTCGCGACAACAAGGGTAAGCAAGTCATCGAAGACGACGATGACGACGATTGGGGCTCCAACGCCAAGTGGGTTCCCGCCTCGCAGCGCGCCGCATCATCCAGCAGCGGCGGCGGCGAGAAGACGCTTAAAGAGCTCGAGGACGAGGCGCTGCGGAAGAATAACGAGTTAACGGACGCGACTCATAATCTCCTACAAATCACGGAGCAGACCATTGCCATCGGGGGACAGACGCTGGAGACGATCGAAGAGCATGGCGCTCAAATCGCGAGTATTCACGAGAACGTCGTCACGGTGGACCAAGAAATGGAGAAGGTACAAAGATATTTGGCGCATGGCATGCGCGTTGCGGCGTGTTCGTTGCGTTGCGCCCAAATCGCGCGTATTCACGAGAACGTCGTCACGGTGGACCAAGAAATGGAGAAGGTACAATATCGGTTGGCTCATGCGCGTTGCGGCGGGTTCATTGCGACCAGATCGCGCGTATGCACGAGAACGTTGTTACGCTGGACCAAGAAATGGAGAAGGTACGATGACAGCAGGACACGCGGTGACCTGCCTGACTCGACTGAAGGAATATTATGGAGAGCACTACGACGGCGAGAGAGATTCTGCTTATGGGAATGATGTTGCGCTAGGAATTCGGTAGCGTTTCGGTAGAGCTTGTCTCAAATGGCTAAGTGAGAAGTTGAGTAGAGATTGTAATATTACTATGAATACAAAAGCAAACACACAAGATAGATATAGGCTACGGGGAAGTTGCACAAAGTTGGCGTGGCGCTGCGGAGTAACCCAACCCCACGAAACTGTCGTGTGGATGGGTGAACCGCGCCTCGGCCAATCCCAACCTGACTCAGCAGGGAAGTCAATGCCGGGCTCGCCAATTCTCCCAACACACCTAGAAATGGCGAGACTCACAGGGAATCACCCACAACTACCAAGACCATCCAAGAAGCACGCTCACGACTCCCTAAGCTAGCACCACCCCAGCAGTGACTTCATTAGCGCCATCATAGTCACACGACGTCATAAGGTCGGTGCAGGGCCGCGTACAGTCTTGGTCGTTCATCGACCTGCCAAGTCAACACACATCGTCGAGGGCCCTTGCTGTCGTAGGGCCCTCTAACACTCCCCTGCCATACTACAGCAAGGCCCTTTATAATCACAGGGCATGCATACACACATACACACCAAAATAAAGGGAGACACACACAAACGAAGCACTCTCAAAGTGCAAACACGCACCGCACCAGCCATGGATAGGCCATGGCACCAACCACATCAAGGAGTGTCTAGGTCTCACTCCCCTCGCTCGAGAGCCTCACCTGCCCCACAGCCTCGAAGCAACGACTGAAGGCGGGGAAATGCAATGCCTTCGTGAGGTAGTCAGCTGGCTGCTCGCTCGTAGGGATGTACTGCAACTGCAGCTTCCTGCGCTTGACCATGTGCTGCAGCCACATATGACGACGCTCCATGTGCTTGAGGCTCCCCTTGAGCCCCATGCCACCTGCCACTGAAATGGCGGATGAGTTGTCCACAAAGAGGGTTGTGGGCTCCTCACTCCTCAGCAGTTGAAATTCTGCCAGCAGGAAGCGCAGCCTGCGCGCCTCCTTCCCAGCCTCCACAGCAGCAACGTACTCAGACTCAGTGGAGGAGAGCGTGGCGCAACGAATCCTCTGGCTCGCCCAAGAGACAGCAGCACCCCCGAGCACGAAGATGTAGCCACCAGTGCTGGTCCTGTTCTGCTTGTCTCCTGCATCATCAGCATCGGCGTAGCCCACCAGCTCCAAGGACTCCGGCCCGCCACCAAACTCCAGCGCCACATCCCTGCTCCCCACCAGGTACGCCAAGCACCGGTCCAACTCCTTCCAGTGCTGGTCACTCCGCACTGTCTGGCCCGACCCCAGCTTGCTGCAGGCGAAGGAAATGTCGGGACGGGTGGTACAGGCCGCGAACTGCAAGGATCCCACCTTCTGTCTGTACTCCTCCTCCTGACGAGACTGCCATCTCACGTCCCCGAAGGTCTGCACACTGAAAGGGTCAGAGGAAAGGGGGGTGCGAGGCACTCGCAGCGGCTGCTCCCCGTCGAAGAAGCGCCTATGGACCTTGTCCACATAGGCCCCCTGGTGCAGCCACAGCCTCCTCGTAGGCCTGTCCCGAATCAGTTGTAACCCCAAGTACTTCTCCACAGGGCTAATCTCCCGCAGCTGAAACGCACTCTGCAGCAGCTCACGCAGCTCCCCCAGCATGCTCTGACTGCGGCTGGCAGCAAGCAAGTCATCCACATACACCAGCAGCCAGCACATCTCCCCCTCAGCATCACTCTTGAAGTACAGAGCCTCATCCACCTGGCTCTTCTTCCATCCAGCCCCAAGCAGCACCCCATCCAAGGCCTCATACCACAGCATCGGGCTCTGCTTGAGCCCATACAAACTCTTCAGCAACTTACAGACACGAGGGGTCCCATCCTCGTAGTAGCTCGGCTGCTCCATGTAAAGGTCACGGTCCAGCACGCCATGGAGGAACGCGTTCTTCACATCCAGCTGCATCAGCTCCAAATCGAGTGCAGCTGCAATCGCTAGAAGCACACGCGCCGTCACATAGCTTCCCACAGGGGCGTACGTCTCCTCATAGTCCACCCCTGCCACCTGCGTGAACCCCTTCACCACCAGCCGCGCCTTCTCACGCTCTACTACCCCATCAGGTCGGAACTTGGTGTTCAGGATCCAGCGGTTCTTCATCACATTCACCCCTGGCGGACGCGGAACCAACTCCCACGTCCCCTGCTCAATCAAGCTCCGCATCTCCTCATCCATCGCCTCCTTCACCTTGTCGCCCTTCCAGCAGCCCAAGGCCTCCTTCACTGTCATCTTCGCTATATCCCACTGCCTCTCAGGGTCGGCCACCACATCAGGATCCAGGTCCGTCCACTCCTCGTCCTCCTCCTCGTCATCCAATCCCGCTGGCTCAATCACCAAAGCCCAAGCATACTTAAGAGGCGGGATACCACGAGTGATGCGAGTGGAGCGACGCAGCGGTGCAGTGATCGTCCCAGAAGCCAACACACGACCACTGTCCCTGATTCCCCACAGCTCCTGCTCCCCTGTCTGCGGCTCCCCTGTCTGCGGCTCCCCTGTCTGCTGCTCCTCTAGCTGCTGATCCACCATCTGCTGCTCCTCAATCTGCTCCTCCCCTATCTGCTGCTCCCCACTCTGCTGCTCCCCTAACTGCTGCTCCCCTATCTCCTGCCCCCCACTCTGCTGTACTCCATCCATACTGCTCTCGTCCTGCAGCTGCTCAGTCTCAAGGCGCTGCCCGTCGGTGATCTCCACAGACGGTGGCACCACTATCCCCCCCTCACCAACGGGCGGCGCCGTGGAAGACGAAGAGGAGGGTGGAGCAGGTGCAAGAGGGATGGAGGGGGGAAGGGAAGAGGGTATAACAGGAGGAGGAGGGGAAGCCAAGGGGGGTGAGGAGGAAGAAGGCAGGGCAGGGGAGCCACACGAGGGTAAACTGAAGGCGGAGGTGGGGTGGGGACCGAGGTAGGGACATAGGGCATAGCAGGAGGTGCGACCACCTCCTCCTCCTCCACCGCCTCCTCAAGAGTGATCGGGAAGAGGGAGGGAAGGGGCTCATAGGGCATCGGACGCCCCGCATGCTCCTGCTGGTGCCAAGCCTTCCATCCTGCCAGG